TTTTTAAAATTTTTCCACACCGTGGGAGGGGGACAACCCCTCCCACACCCTCCCCCCTCGGGGGCTTCGCCCCCTCGTGTCCGCTTATTGCCCCCCCTGGCATTTTGCTCAGGCTACGGCCCTGCAGACAAACAAACAATCAATTAAACAGGGGAAGGGGATGGTCAATTTCTCATCCGCGAACCCCCTTTCAAATTATCCTGGATCCGCCCATGTACATGTTGTTTCGGTGACACTGAAAATCAGGCAATGATCAAAAGAAGTAAATGAATGGCCTAAGCCCTAATTGGTTTTTTAAAATCATTTTCTTTTCAAACAATAAGAACTGAAGTCGATTAATCAAGTTGAAACGGCCACTCTTAGAAAAATTAATTTGAAAAAAAGTAATAATAGTTGATTTGGTCGGGAGGTTATTCAACTTTGTCTTTTTCTCCAGTTAGATGCACTGTCTTTGGTTGTTGCCTTTCTTGAACCTAAAAAATTCACGAAACAAAAACATGGGCTAGCAGGGCATGTTCTGGGACCCCATGTTCTGGGTCCGTAAACAAGTACACATTTGATAAATATTGTGCAATGAATAATACAGAACTTACACATTAAACTGCGTTATATCCCACATTAATTTTAAAAATCAAGTTAAAAAGCGCGTGTGCCTAACTTTATGATTAAAATCCCGTATGGTGTATCTTTAGAAGATCCCCGCCCTCTCTCCGGACTTGCAGGGTTCTCCTGACTTCAACGCCACCTATCTACAGGTTCCTGCATTAGAACCACTGTGTAGCTGGAATAGCAGAAGCACTTGAATGTCTGTATGGACATCATATACTGTATGTATTTGGTTTTCCTAATTAATAAGAGTCGAATTAAATGCATTTTCACGTTAAAGGTAAATGTGCGTTAATGGACAACCAACAGTTTGCAACTAGACTTATTTAAATAATTTCAGATTTGCTATAGCATCACTTTCATTTTGAAGTTAGAGTACTCCTCACAAAGTTGCTCTAACTCTGCATGTCCGCAATGGCTGGGCAGGTTGTGGACGGCATTGATATCGACGGCCTTTCCATTCTGTCTGTGGGCACCTGCAATAATTTTGATGTCATTGAGAGGAGGAAGTCATCCGACACCTCATTACCTCTGGAAACGGTAACTTCTTTTTATTTATGCATGTATGTACCCCATTTTATTCAAGTTTAACAAGTTTTAGCTAGTATCGAATTTATTTTTAATGTTATTTATGAATGATGCCTTTGCAACAAATCAACAACTGCACAATAATCAGCTCATCCAATCGACTGAAAATAGAGTAAACTTGAGGATCATGATCGTCGATGCCTGCTCCAGGCCTGACACTTCAGGCCCGTAGCCAGCAATTTCAAAAGGGGGATTCTTTTTCTGAAAAATTGGACCTTTTACCATGAAACCTTCATTTGCCTAGATAAAATTTTGTCCAGAGGGGACCTTTTCCCAGCAAAAGGGGGGTTCTTTCAAACCCCCCGAACCCCCCTGCCTACGGGCCTGCACTTGATGCTGAATGATGAATTTAAGGTGACTGCACAAGGGAATTTTGTCCTCTTGAAACTATTATCTTAAATGAATGATTATCCATTAGCCCTTATATTGAAGTATGTTTTTATTTTAATTTAGTTTTAATTATTGTTATTATAACTTTTGCAAGCTGAAATCACATGATGAAATACTCAAAGATCTAAAGGAATGTAAACAAAAGTGTTGCTGTATGACCATACCAGTACATGCATTTTGTATCCTTTTTGGTAATGAAATAATTAATACCTTGGCCAAATAGGATATCCAGGCCCGTAGCCAGGGGGGGTTCGGGGGGTTCGAAAGAACCGCCCTTTTTGCTGGAAAAAGGTCCACTTTGGATAGAATTTGATCTAGGTACATGAAGGTTTAATGGTAAAAGGTCCACTTTTTCAAAAAAACGAACCCCCCATTTGAAATTGCTGACTACGGGCCTGATATCTTTAACACCCCTCATACATCTTCAATTGATTTTTTCAGCTGCCTTTGGGGTTACCTCCGGTATTACCCACATTGAAAGCTGACCTGGAAGAGTATCTGTCACATCCAGAGAAGCTACCTGTGTATGACATTGAACGTACTCAAAGGTAATATTCAAACTGTCTTGAAATGCAAGCTGCCATCAAAGAACAAAAACAGAGGTAAAATTCTACTGATTGCATTAGGAAAAGCTTCAATGTGGGTTGATTTAGCAGACAACTTTTAGGGTGCATTTCCAATGAAACTATTGTTCTATGTAGATGGATCCAACTCTGCCAAGACTCTCACTGAATGTAATCAGATTAACAGATTAACACACTTCCTATTGGTTCAACATTCTCTTATTTTGTCCAGTTTTTGTTTTCTGCTCAATATCAAGGGGAGATGAGTTAATCTGTTTGCATTCAGCGTTCGATCAATCTACGTAGAACAATAGTATAATAATACAGAATGAGAACTTAATTACTTGCCTTTTGGTTATTCAATCATTGATAGATTTTTTTATGCTGATATTACATATTAGATAAATTAGATTATTTACATTTATTCTGTTTATGATTGGAAAGTCCATTGTTTGTTTTAGGTTTTTCAGCAGTAAGGGCTGTCCAGACAACTTATACCTTGCAGAGCCCACTCCTGTCCAGACCACTATCAGGGTGGACAGAGATATGACCACTGGTCAGTTGCTTGGATATAAAGAGGTTAGAGTCCTTTCTGATTGAAAGAGTATTCTTATTCCTTTGCCATCATATTAATGTAAAGATTATTGCAAAAAAGAGAAAAAATATGTGTAAATGCTATAAGCTGAAGTGTGATTTTTGACATTAAATTGAAGCTTAGGTGCAACTAGAGATTATAACACATTAAGCATAATATTTTGTTCCTTTGAATCCTTGTTAAGTTCAGGTTATACTATCATTTCTCTTTCACTTTACATGAAACAGGGGTAGTTTTAACTTGTCATCAAATTGCTGAGAAAGTATTACTCTAACTGTGCCTTCTTTGAGCTGTAAAATTAATACATGTATATGCTATTGTGATGTTTTAACAGGAGTTTCTGGATGATACTGGAAGTTCAGCCAAAAACTCGACCTCACTATCTCGTCCCCCAGGTCCACCCTCTGAAGGGATCAAGGGAAATTCCACCAATTATCCTTTCTGGCCAGGTGCATGACTTAGTTTGTGTTATGAACGTTGAGATGTCATTAAGCCTTACTTTTGTGATTTTAGATAATTGTTATTATAATTACGTTGTGAATAGTGTTGTTTGGGATAAAGAATGTGCAATATTTTCCTCACTGCTTCTAACTCTCAGTAAAATATATTTTTGAAATGAGTTGATCTGAATTAGATCTGAATTAGGGCATTTTATTTTGAGCCAATGTGGAGTTGCATTTGTTGTAAATGAATTATTTATAATGAGATTTTTTGTTTGCAGGAGGACTTGAGGAACCTGTTTTTACAGACTTAGCGGCTGACAACCTAACCCAAATAGATTTTGAAACTGGTGAGTAAATATGGTTGCTGCCCTACGATTGAACTTCAAACTTTTATTATTTTTTTTGTGTAATATACATCTTGTAGGTGTTTCTTTGTGAATTTTGATTTTGACTTTGGTATTAGAGTTTTGAAAAATTTACTTATATTTTATTTTCAAGTCGGAGTGTCCATATCATATTTGATATTGGTCAATCAAATGTTAAGCATATTTTTCAGACCTCCTGTCTTGCCCCCCTGGCTTTGATCATGGCATAGTGTTTGAGTGTAAAAGTCGCACTGAAAACCCTGAGGGGACACTGCAAAAAGAAGCAAGTCAGACCCCCAATCTCCTGAAACTGAGCGACATTTTAGAAGCGGATGATCTGGACTTCAGTGTAGGGGAAGAGGAGGAGGAGGAAGATAAGGAAAAAGAAGGAGCAGACAAAGACAAAGTGAATACCCCTATTATTAATGGCATATTTGTCTTAATTCTTATTTAATGTATTGAACCCATTCATCAGTAATATTAAATGAATAAGCTAGTATACAAAAGATGAAGTTTGTTGCATAGTTCATCAAAAAAATCCTAGCGAAAGAAAGAGCTAGTTCAGAGGTACCCCAGTATTGTACTCCCTCTCATACATGTATGTTTCATATGATGATTGTCCTATTTTCAAAAGAATTCTAAAAATATAAATATTTATAAAAGTTAATTGAAGACATTCTCTTTTATTAAATTATCTAACTAGTTAGCATATGGCAATTTTAACATGCAAGGATTAAACTACTTCCTTAACCTACTTGTAGCTGTTAATCAAATGCATTGCTTTTTCCTGACATTCTGTATTTTTAGATTTCATACAGTGTCACGTGATACATGATTTATGCAAATCAGTTTCAGAATTCTGCTGATATACAGGATCTTCCAAGAAGTGAAAGTTTTGAGAATCTAGTCACAAATACAGACTCTGACCTGGGAGACGTGGTAACAAGGCAGCAGGAAGAGCCACTGGAAAACTGGGCTATTCCAATAGATCTCACTGACCCTGTCAGTGACTTTCATAAGAGAATTCCTGAGATGGCATGCACAGTAAGCCTTCATATTGTTTGAAGTATTCCTCCAGAATTTTTCAGAAAGTCATGTGAAAATACTTGTTTTCATTACCAGAACATGGATATCATTCCAGGCATTATTTTATCAAAGTACTTCACATATTTAATCCTTGATCTTACATAAAACTTAAACTACATGTAGAATACAAGACCATATTACAAAATATATATATATACTAGAAATGAAAGTTTCGCTATCCAAGTGAAAAAAATATTTAAGTGACGTTTATGCTTGCAAGATACACATACACTGTAACTGCAAAAGATGACAGTGTGACATTAGTATCTTTCATTCCCTGGAAACATTCTGTGACTGAATTAGCCTTTTTCTTTTTTTTATTCAGTGGCCATTTGAACCAGACATATTTCAGAAGCAAGCTATTCTACGTTTGGAGCAAGGCGAGAGTGTGTTTGTTGCTGCTCACACGTCTGCTGGTAAAACAGTAGTTGCTGAGTATGCCATTGCTCTTTCTATGAAACACATGACCAGGTAAAATAGATTAATATTTGTCTCGATTCCTGTATTGTATTACTCTAAAGGCAGCCTGTATCTACAAGATATTAGTTGAGTTAACCATGCTTTTATTATCTTGTCATACTCGGTCTTATATTTTATTTCTCGACATAAGTGATAGGCAAATTAATGAAATGAGAAGTGTTGGCCATGAGTTAAAGCAAAGCTCATTGAAAAGTTTGTTTACTACATGTAATATGATCAGCTACAAATTTCATCTGTTTATTAAATGTCCTGTGTGTTTCCAGGACCATATACACGTCTCCAATCAAAGCCTTATCCAATCAAAAATTCCGTGACTTCAAGCAGAGGTTCTCCAATGAAGGGGATGTGGGCTTAGTTACAGGAGATGTGCAGATTCACCCTGAGGCTTCTTGCTTGATTATGACCACAGAGATTTTACGGTATGTGTAGAAGTTATGATTCTCCCTAAAATTATGAGATGTTACAATTCAACATATATTATTGAATTGTGCTAGTTTATAATGCATTTATTTTCATTTTACCAAATTGAGATAATGAAAGCTTTAGTTATAATGGTAATAATGAAATAGATTAAAGATGTTAACTGTTATGAGTGTTTTGATTTTTATCTTTTGTTTTGTTTTGGGGAATAAAAAGAATAAGTTACAATTTTTTAATATTTCCAGATCTATGCTGTACAATGGCTCGGATGTAGTCAGAGATTTAGAGTGGGTGATATTTGATGAAGTGCATTATATCAATGACCCAGAGGTATGATATGGCAATAAGCCCATATGTTTGCACAGAGCTAAGAGCTGAGTTTTGAATATGACACCCGAGTATTCAAACAAGATATAGCTTGTGACTATTCACTGTAAACATTTCAAACGCTTTTAGATTAAAAGACACTATTGAATAAGATTTTCTGGTTTTTCCCTTTCTGTTACAGTTCAGGGAAGCATCTGAATACCATTGGTAATGTTCTCAACTTGATGATTGAGAAACATTTGATGAATTTTTAATTGTTACAGCGTGGAGTGGTCTGGGAGGAAGTGCTAATTATGCTACCACACCATGTTAATATTATACTGCTCAGTGCCACTGTGCCAAATACCCGGGAGTTTGCTGGATGGGTGGGGTAAGTCATTGTGTTCTGTCTCACCTAACACACTGTGTTGCAATTTAGAGATGCAGCTGTCACATAAAAAAAAAAAATCTGTCAAATCTTGTATTTGTTTCACGCTGGGCTGCCTGAAAGACAGCACCACATTAGAAATTAATATGGCAGATTTTGGGTGTGAGTTTTATTGAATGTAGTCAGCACATTTTGTAAATGGTAAATTGGACATTCAGCATGGGTAAATTTCAGCAAAATACTAAAGTTCATATATTTCTTTAACTGTTCACAAATCACAATCAAATAGAAATAGTTAGACCAAAATACATAGCTTAAATATTCATCCAGCTGGTATGCATTCTTTACATGATTACTTACCTTTCAACAATTAACTTTGTGTATAATGTAGGAGAACCAAGAAAAAGAAGATGTATGTTATCAGTACACCTAAAAGACCAGTTCCATTGGAACATTTCCTCTTCACTGGTAACAGCAACAAGACCAGTCACGAACTCTTCCTGCTCCAGGATGCTAAAGGAAACTTCCTTACTAAAGGGTGAGTAACATTTTTAAGTGCAACCTTGGAGTTTATTGTTTACAGAAAGTTTCCCTTGCCTTTGTTTCCTTCTGTCTTTTTAAAAGTGATTGTATGACTGGTACCTATGACACCTTATGGTGACTTCAGTATTAAAGTGGTACATAGGCAATTAAAGCAGTTTACCTTTCTGCCCAATTGAAATATTTGTATTATGATGTAAATGCACAGGTTTAATTGTGTCACATGTCAGAGAATTTGTTACTGTGATCATATCTCAATATGCTGCAGGTATTACCAGGCGATAGAGGCTAAAAAGGAAAGAACCAGCAAGTCATCTCAGAGTTTTGGACCAAAGGGTGCTCGAGGAGGAAATCCTGCACAGGTAGGTAAAAACAGATCTTAAACGAAAAAAATGTTACAGTTGATGAAAAGGAAGAACTTATTGTTAGTATTTTGTAATACATTTTGATGTAAATTGTTTAATTAATATACTGATCAGTATAAAAGACGTGAAAATTTAGTTTACTGCAGATTCAAACTTGTGGTTGCTCACCAAGTACAGTAGATTTAATAATTGTGAAAGGGTTTAACTGAAATAGAAACTAGTTGGTCATAAAATGTTCTTTTATTATAGGTTTAAGTGTTCCTAGAGAGTTATGAGTAATTCTTTACTTTTTTTTTCTAGGACAAAAATGTGTGGCTTTCAGTGATAGACATGTTGAAGAAGAAGGACAAGCTGCCTGCTGTAGCCTTCACATTCTCTAAGAAGAAGATCGAGGACAATGCCAGCAACTTGTCCAGCGTGGACCTCACCACTCAGAGTGAGAAGAGCGAGATACACATCTTCTTCCAGAAGAGTATAGCCAAGCTTAAAGGGTCAGATAAAACACTTCCCCAGGTGAGCAAGGTGACCTGTGAAATTACAGAACGATATGGATTTTTTAGCTCTAAATGCGTTTGCTACAGTATGTGGTTTAAATGGGATACAAAAAAGGTGCAAATCAAAGAATTTGATTAAGAGAAAGACAGCAGATGCAAACTGTTCAATGGGACATTGTACCTTTGAGACTGAAACTATGAGAGTTTGTTTTTATGATACGTAGATTGCCTAGAGTAGTTTGTGCCTACAATGATCAAGCAGATTATGCTGGTCTTTACTACCTCAGACAAAAGATAACATTTAACTTTTCTGTTGTGGATGTTTTTATGTTTAATACATGTAAAAACTCTCCCCACCATTTCACATTTACCCACTAGGTTCTTCACATGCAAGACATCCTGAAGCGAGGTATAGGCATTCACCACAGTGGAATCCTGCCTATCCTCAAGGAGGTAGTAGAGATGTGCTTTCAGAGAGGATTAGTCAAGGTGAATACAGTACACTGCATGACAGAAAAAAAATGGTGTAGCATCTACTGTTGTTCTTTAGTTGGTTTAGATAGCTGTTCATGATTATTGTTCAGTGTTCATGGGATCACTGCTGGTTCGAATAATACTTCTGTAACAACTTGAATAAGATGGGATTACATGTAAATTGATTTTTCTGTATATTATACATGTATAAACTTTAAAATATCAGATAAAAAACTTTGATGATTTTTCTCAAGCTTTTGACCTTACCAGAAGTTTATCAAGACCCTAAAAATATAAAAATATTTAATTCTATAATACACAAGTGATAACTATCATTGTAATGTTTAGGTATAATTAAATTTGGATGTGACATCACTTTATAGCAGATATGTTGAAATCTGCAATATTATGTCTAGATTTAATTTTTCACAAGATATTTGCCATAGGTTTACTCAACCTAACATGAGTATACCAGTAATATTTAATTTGATGAAAAAAAAACAAAAAGAAAAACGAAGACCAATTATTCCAGGTTTTGTTTGCCACGGAAACCTTTGCTATGGGAGTCAACATGCCAGCCAGGACTGTGATATTTGACTCCATCAGAAAGCATGATGGGACAGCATTCCGTGACCTACTTCCAGGGGAGTACATCCAAATGGCGGGTCGGGCAGGACGTAGAGGTTTGGATGCTACTGGGACGGTGATGATTCTGTGTAAAGGAGATGTGCCAGAGATGGCTGACCTGCATAAAATGATGCTTGTAAGATTTTCTTTCATCATTCCAAAACCATTTGGTTGAGTCGGGTACAGCAGGTACCGTAAGTTGAGAAATAGTCTGAAACTGAAAATACACAGATCACTATGATTTTGCTTCATTGAAGACTCACATTTTTAAGCTGGTGCAAATAATTATGATACCTAGTAATTAATACTTTTGTCACTGTTTTTCATTCATAGGGGAAACCCACACTACTTCAGTCACAGTTTAGACTCACTTATTCCATGATTTTAAACCTGCTTCGAGTGGAACAGTTACGCATAGAGGACATGATGAAGAGAAGCTTTTCTGAGTTCCACTCACAGAAGAGCACCACAGAGAGAAAGAAGACCATGGCAGATCTGCAGGAGAAGATGTCCACAATGCAGGACTTGGATTGCAATGTGTGTTGCATTGACTTGGAGGGCTATTACAAAGCATGCCGAGAATACTGTATTACTAAAACAGAGCTTCAGGTAAAATTATAGGCTATAATGTGTGCTATTCAAGTTTTTTCATCTCAAAATATGAGAGATACACTGTACATGGGCCTCATATAGGAAAATGTATTCAGTCTTACTTATATATCTTAAGCCATGCTGTATCCATTATGAATAATGAAATTAATATAATTATTTCTATACTTTTCTTCCCTTTTTTGCATCAAAATTCTGCATATAATCTCTTTCAGTTGAAGTTTGAATGATATTCATGAATTATGAATTTATTTATGCTAAGATCATATTTCAAAATGCAAGTGAATGTTAATTTTCAGTACTTATTAGTGATAAAGTTATCTTTTTTTAAATATTTTGTAGAAAAAAGTTCTCACTCACCCAGCAGCCATCAAGGCACTGTCACCAGGCAGAGTGGTTATTGTAGACACAGAACTCTATCAAAATACATTGGCAACAGTATTGAAAAGCACACTGGGCCAAAACAATGAAAGGATGTTCACATGTTTAGTCATTTGCGAGAAAAATGCCAGCAGTGCTGACTCTGCCTCAAATGCAACCAAAACAGTGGAGGGACCACTGATAAAACCAGTTTTAGTCAATCAAGTCTTGTTTCAACCTGAAGGACCAAGCGGCCACGTGATAGTAGACTTAACAGCTGAACACATTGGTGCCATTAGCAATGTAGCGTTGAAGGTTAATGCAGACAGAATTCTTGAGGACTTCAAAAAGAGACAGATTGCTCGATTCAAGTAAGGGTGTTTTTTTTTGTTGCATTGGTTCAATGATCTTACATTTACAGATGAAGACATGGTCATGATACTCTTAAATGAAACAATTACGATACTTTTGTGCAGCTGCCTCTAATTTCTTTTTGTCTTAAATCCTTTGATATAATTGTTTGAACCCAGTTTTTGGTGGATTCCAGGATGGAATGAACCTAGGAAAGGAAAAATCAACATGGCATGCTTATACTTTTTAATAAGGTTTATGGCACATCTTAAGATATCTTGTACAGTGTATTCGACTATCAAACGCATATAAATTAAAAATAGATGAATGGTTTCTTTCTTACCTTGACTGAAATTTACATGACTCGTTCTCTAAGATTCAGTCACCAGAAATAGAAAAAAAAACTGTGTGAAATTTAATTTTTTTTCACTTTTCAGAAATGATCCACCTGGCCAGTCTGTAGTGACCACAACTCAGGAACTCCTACGCCTGGCAGAGTCTGATCCTCATGGTCTGCCATCTTTGGACCCAGTCAAGGACTTTGGTCTCCGTGACATTGACCTTGTGGAGCAGTTCAGGCGACTACAGTTTCTTCAGGAAGAATTGAAAAATTTTGCCTGCGTGACTTGCTCCAATTTCAGAAAGCATGTAAGAGAATGGTTTTGCATAAGAAGTAGTTGCCCAAATAAGAATATGTCATTTTTTAAAACTGTTAGTGCATGGCTATTTTATTTATGCAAAGACTTGGTTTTAGACAGCTTAAATTTCCAAACTCATGTTTTAAAATATACTTTGGAAAATGTTTAAACTTTTCTCATGCTCAGTTAAGGTTTTTGTGAAGCAAGGTATTCAAGTAAAATAATTTTTTTTAAACTTAATACACCACTATGTTATGCCACTTCTTACATGTATGCATCCTATTTCAGTTTGAAGAAAAACATAATTACATGAGATTGAAGGAAGAGTATGCCCACCTCCAGTTTTTGCTGTCAGATGAAAGCCTAACACTGCTGCCAGAATATCAACAGAGAGTTCAGGTATTTAAAAAAAAAACTTTATAGTCCTTAGGACAAAAGTAAACAATTTCACCTGTTAGACCACAATATCAGTGGCACAGGGATAACTGGCTGCCTTTCTTGAATTATCTCTGCTTGTGAAAGAAAAAATGATTATGATACTGTAAAATGAAGAAGGCTTGTGTTGATATAATAATATATATATAATTCTTCTTGTGGGCATATTACTGGCAGGAAAAGCAGATTAATAAATTAAATTGTGATTCGAGATTAAAAAAAAAACAACTAAATAATCTAAATTGTATGTTGGTTTTGTTTTCTAGGTGCTGAGAGCACTGAAGTATATCGACAACACAAATACAGTACAACTGAAAGGGAGAGTGGCTTGTGAACTGGGCAATCAGGAGATCATTATCACTGAACTGGTGTTTGAGAACATCCTGACTGATCTCCATCCCACCGAGATAGCCGCCTTGTTGTCCTGTGTTGTGTTTGAACAGAAGAGGTGCAGTGAGCCTAGCCTTACACCAGACTTACAGAAGGTATACATCACTTGAGTTCTATGTACCAGTCTTAAGAATTTGCCTTTTCAGACTTAGATTTAGATGGATCCAGGTCTGGCTTTGGGGGCATTGCTATATGACAGGCAAATGAATGTTATGGTAATTCAGCTCTCACCTCTGTTACAATTCTCTATAGATATTTTTAAACCTACCTGTAAGTACTTCTGGGGTAACTTTTTTTCCCTTTTCTCCTTTTGCCTATTTGAAAAATTTTCTTCATTGCTGTACCTACTGTTTTGTTTCAGGGCAAAGACTTGATTCTGAAAATAGCTACTAGTATTGGTGAAACTCAGAGAGCCTGTGGGTTACTGACCCCAGTGGACGAGATCGTGGAAAGCCTCAAGTTTGGACTGACAGAGGTTGTGTTTGAATGGGCACGAGGCATGGTAAGATGGTGTTCTTAATGGGCCTTTGATTTTTAAATTAAAATATTAAATTTCATACAGTGTTGTCCCAAATGATTAATGTAGTGCCTTAAAACCAATAGCGATGGCATAGCACGGGTTCTGATATATTTACAAAGAAAAAATTAATGTACAATTTCATCCATTAGTTGTTTACAATGATCTTGGTTTTCAGCCAATCGACTTGTTGCTGTAATATTAAGTCATATCTTTTATGTAACAAACTGTCCAGATAGAGAGCAATTGGTATAAGGTGGCAAAGCTCACCCAAATTTGTTTCTTCCAGCCATTCTCAGAGATCACAGGACTGACCGATGTCCAGGAGGGCATCATAGTGAGATGTATTCAGAGACTGGACGAAACCTTGAAGGATGTCAGGAATGCAGCCAGGATTATTGGTGACCCTGTACTTTATAGGAAGATGGAGGAGGCCTCCAAACTAATTAAAAGAGACATTGTATTTGCTGCAAGCCTGTACATTCAGTGAATGTTGGGATGAAATATTGTGTAGAATGTGAAAATATTTTTAGATAAAATACATGGAGATTCTATGACATTGTGGTCAACTTCAGGTCATGTTGCTGAGATTTGAAAGAGTGAAATAAACTGTTTTTTACTCCAGGTAGAAGACACATCAAGTGTCTGGTTCACGTGCATGTTGCACTTCCCGGAAGCACAGCTTTCAGTCAGATATTTGGGATTAGAATATAACGAGTTTAATTTGAAAGCTTTAGAATTATCAGATTTTTGGTTGGGATGGAAATAGTCAAAATTACAGTGATAGGTGACCTGCTTGCAAAACTGGATGCCAATATGGCATTTCATACAGCCCATCAAAATGGCATAATTGAATATAAAAGTAATTTATTTTGATAGAATGTTTGGATTTGAAAATGGTCCATGTGTGATGCTACACTACTGATTTTTTTTTTCAATATTTTTGTAATATATACATCAGAATGTTGGTGTTTAACATCTGCAATAATTTCTTTATCACTGTATCATATTTTTACATTCTTCAAAAGAATAAATGTAAGGTCATATATGGAAACATTCTTGAGTTTTATTACATTTGTCTTTCAAAGTGGTCCAACAGTACTGTAACATATTCAAGTTTACACAAATGCTAGGCTATACACATGATTACAGGCTTCCTTGTTGTCCTTTTTCATTCAAAAATGGTGCAAGAAAAAAGAACAAAAATCCAAAGATCTTTCTACCGTAACACAAATATCAGACAAAAACACTTTCCTGTAGAAGGTAAAAATTATGTTCAACAGGCCTAACAATTCCTCTTTCAGACCTGACAAACAAAACCCAAAGTTTGGTCGCTTTTCATGACGTTGGTTCAAATTAAATTTTTGAATTAGCATATCTGTGTCTGTTCACATAATTACAAGACTTACTTTGACTTAACATGTACTACCAACAAACCATCCTCATACAAACTTAAATGAGCAGTCACATAATAACAAAATAGCAAAATCACTTCTCAGTACTATGTGTCAGCTTCAATCACACACCAGGGTTTCAGTCCTAGACTACTACTTTTGCAGATGTCAGTAGTGACACCATGAACAATGTCACAGCTGCAAAACTGTATGGACAATAGGACATATTAAACTGCCTCGGCACAACAATTCTGCAATTCCTTCCCCAAGAATTTCCAGACAGACAGTAGTGGCTGCAAAATAGAAATGTTAGTCACTATTAAGGATCCCTATGCCCTGGCTGCTGCCTTTACTTGTGCTTGCTGGAACTGATGTTGGATCTTATTTAAATTGTCTCTATGAGTCTCTTGCTTCTTCTCTAAATCCTTGATAGTGTTTTCATGTCTTTTTCTGAAAAACAAAAATCACAAAACCATAAAAGAGTGTTCATATAAGAGATGGGCAATCTTTAATAATAGACCTTGCAACTAAACTTCACTTCTTTCAAGCAAAGTTTTTTGAGAGTGCATTACTTCAACAACCTTACACTATGTAAAAATTTCTATCCCAAAAAACCATACATCAGAAAGAAACAAGGTAGTGAGGTTTTCTATAACATAATGAAAATAGTTTTGAGAGCATTTCTTCCATTAAGTACTCTAAAATGTCTCTTTTCTGAATAAAAACTAGTCATAAAGAGTCTGCTATCATGACTTGCATGTGTTTCTCTGATTTTCTTAAATGTAGTATTTCTTATTATTAGCATCTCATACATTTCACCACTGATATAGTCTATCCTTTTCTGCACTGTCTGCTTGGCTTCCCCCAAGTCCTGCTTCACCAGTACTGGACCTATCATTTTGTACACATTAGAGCCATCACTCAACCTGTCCAATTCCTAGGGTAGAAAAGAAATGATGGTACAAATGACAGGAGAAAATTTTATTTTCACATGCTTATTGAACTCTTAATTGCCAAACTAAAATTTTCGACTTCACATAATTTCTTTCAAAAAAATGTGTAATTTCCAAATCATCGCACAGATAATCATCAGTTTCAACAATAAACCCTAAAAAACAGTTTTGTCACAAAATTCAATTTGTTTTTGGATTGAAGATGAACAGGTTATGTTTATGGGTTATTCCATAGTTATTTGCGACTAAACTGTCATTTAGCAATATGCATTTTAAGTATTATCCCTCCCACTAATCGAATCAAGTTGTATTTTTCTTACTTCTTTGACAAGACTATTTTCATTGAGCTGAGCATCCAGCTGCTGACGGGCACTCACATACTTCTGATAATCTGAAAAAATATAAATTATTAATAATAAATATTAACTAGATCTTCCAAGAATAACATTACACCGATAAAACTATTTTAAACGAGTGAGTCCTAGTATTAAAATATAGTAAAATGATCTGATCTAGGTACCTATCAAAAGCTTTTTGTCTACAGTTAGTGCAATCATCATTATCAGAGTCATGGCCATAATCTGCACAAAGAAATTAAGTTAATGTCATTAGTAAAAGCACGCCGTTTCTCTGGTGTGTCTTGTTTGGGAAGTGTTGCCATGTAACACTGTGATTAACAAGGCATCGCTTTGAAAGTAAAAAGTGTTTTGTCAAAATCGTTTAATGTGCAAGACTTTTTATCAAAATTCATGACACTAAATTTGAAATTTACTTGCCTTTTTGCACAGCCTGATACTTTTCTAACTCTCCTTGAAGCCGCTTCTGTAGACCTTCCGCCATATTGAAATAAATCCAAAAATAAAATGTGTTGGAGATGTTGATTGGCTGCAAAATGGATGATCCAATCGAATGCCTTGTGTAATTTGTGTATACTTGACCCAATTTCGCGAATTTTGCAATGTATTTCTTCGTCTATGTTGTGTGTGCACGCTAATACAGTAGCTGTATAAGTAAAAGGAAATGCTGTGACCTTGTGTGAAGTGAAAAATATGATTGGAATCAGACGGCAGTTTTTGAGATTTACCACATCGTTAAATGAGCAGAAAGGACAGGTACCTGTAGTTTTTCAAGTCACAAAACTTAGTTGTGCTCTGGTATAATAACAACATGTTGGTGCATTGGTATGATAATATTGTTACAAATACTGGGGTGCAGTNCACACACACACACACACACAACCACCACCATGTAATAACTCTGTGATGATAAATGTGAATAACTCTGATACTAGAACTTACATTTAGCGAATTGACTAATGTTGTTGCCTCAACCTGAGACCTTTCACTAGGTAAGTGACCTGGGTGGACTGGTCACCTGATCTATTGCCATCCCAGTATGGCTTGGAATATGCCCTGACCCATATGTGGAAGGGTTAAACCTGAGGCCTCCTCTCTTGTTCATTGTTGGATTTCCACCATTCTAGACCAGGAAGAAAACTGGAGCAAACATGGTACCAAAGAAGACATCTGGGAATGGATGAAAAATCCAACACATAAATTAACAGTTGCAGGGTGGGGAAGGGGAGTACTGCAAAAGTATCAATAAGTTGGATAGCAAATTGGATAGCTATTTTATGTGCTTTTTAAAAGATCTTAGATTATTCATACCTTGGCACTGATGGTCTGAATGATGTTATCAATATGTATTTAACTGCTGAAAGCCCTTCAAACATAAGACAAATGACTCTCTGTACATTTGCAATTTGGAGCACTTTTGTTTTATAATAATAATATAGAGCTTTTGTTTTACAGCATGCATTTGTGGCTGTTTTGCAATGTTTTGGAAGGCGTGGATTCAGTACAACAGTGAAGAGAAATCGTCGCTCCAGCATACCAAAAGGGATTGGTGTCCGTGACAAGGAGTTGCCCTACTGGAAAAGATTTTTAAAGGGTGGCTACCCATTACTGGTATGCTAAGAGAGAGAGATGAGATATATGATATAATGTATGTTGACTGGTTAATATGTACATTAGTGGAAACACCCCTGATACTCACCAGTAAAGTTCTTGTGTAAAGGGTTCCTTAGTAAGTTTTCTTTTGTATCATTGTTTTTTAGGGGGATGGATTGAAAATTATAGTAAAACCTGATAATTATTATTTTCTCACTTTATCATTGTTTGAATAACTTTTTCTTTTTAATTGGTTTTCACTATAACATTGGGCACTTACATAATAGATGATCCCTGGACTAACTGATCCAGGGGCTAAATATGGCTGTCCTCACTAAAATGAAGCCACCTAATTTCCTAATGGTCACCCTGCCTCCACATGCGCCATCCATGAAGTGATCTAGCAATTAAACCTTGGAGTAGAGATTTAGTCTGTTTAATGGAACGTGTGGAGGTCGAGGAGACCATCATAGGATTAGGCAGCTTGCTTTTAAGTATGGACGGCAATATTAAATCCGTGGATTAGTTGATCTGCAGATAATCTGTTCTGAAAGCACCAATTAACCAACTCTGAGGCTAAATATGATACCTTACTCTAAATGTGAAGAATAACAGTTACTTATCTTAAGACAAAACATTTCATAATAATGTCCTCTTTGTTAAAGAAACATGTATTAAGCTTCATATTATTGTCATCATACTAATGTTATAAAATTTGATCATTTATTTAATGCGAAACCCCAACAACTTTTATAAATTGCAAAATTTATCAAAATTATCATGGAGAGGCTCCTGTCCAGGTTAAACTTGTGACACCTCTCTACACCGTTACCAGTTTACTAGAATAAATTAATGTCATTGTCATTGTTTTCCAGTTGGCGCCAGCAATATTCACATACCTTGGTTTTTGGCAGATACAGAGACTCAAGTGGAAGATGGGGATAATAGATATGCTTAATGAAAGGACCAATTCAGATCCAATACCTCTGCCAGAGGAGTAAGTGATAACAGTAAACCTAAAAAGCATTTTATACACACTTGAAAATGTCCCAAAGTCATGTTTTCATGTCTAAGTTACTGAAAAAGCTTCTGAATATATTTCCCCAATTCAAACCTCAAAAGGGATGAATCCTTATTTATCTGAAGAATATGTGATATTGATTTTTCTTTCCCAGTTCTAGACCTCAAAGCTTTAATATTTCTTGATTTCTGGTGAAAAATAAATTTGTGGATATGATACAGATAAACAAACTGCAACTCTGTTGCTAATTTCTTGTTGTAAAGTGGAAAAAATCCTATGAAATGTCAAAAAAAAAAAAAGACTGCAATCTAAATGGATCATGATCCATTCGGATCTAAGTTATTTAGTTAAAAAAAGTACAAAACCAAGACATCGACTCTATGTGCATGGACAGGTCAAGCAATGATTCGTGAGTGGGAGAAAGTAGCCCCTTTTTTGAGGAATATTAGGTTTGGAAAAATATTTGTATAGGATACCACAAAATTGGATCTTGGTTAATTAATTTTAATTTTGCCAAGGTAATGTTTGTTTATGCTTAATGTCTGTTTCAATCATAGATCATAGAAATGTGTTCATTCATTTGGTTGCTAAAAATATGGCTATAAACAAAAATTTTAATGGGTTCAAATGACAAAAAAAGTCTTAACTTATTTTTATAATTACCCCACTTCACAGGACATTTTATTATGTCAGTCATATTGCTTGACTAAAAGGCAACTGTAGTCTTAAATTACAAATATAAAATATACAAAAAATCATTTCAATTGTGAATTTTAGCTTAAGAGAAATACAGGACCTTGAGTATCACCCTATCCGTGTGCGAGGGACCTTTGACCACTCCAGGGAAGTTGTTGTTTCACCTAAAGGAAGGTAGGAGAGCAATGTTCTAAATATTTGATACAATTTCTACAAGACTCAGTGTATCAAGTATTTAGGCTATATGTTGATATAATTTTCATTGGTAAATTATTTAATATGATAGTGAATTATACTTCCCGTCATTTTAAAAATTATACATGAAGATATGCAAATGAAATATAGAAATATAGAAATGACTTCAATCTATGCCATTGGTGTTAATTTTATTGATCTGTGATATACCTTTCAAAAGGTGTCATCCCATGTAAATTGATCTCAAGTTTGCACCTATATCTGTTGCAAAATGTTTTTCACATGTATTTATCATCCCTTGTTATGTCAAGTATGGCTTTGTCTCTGCATTTCCAGGGTGGAGAGTAAAAACCAGGCTGTGATGAGAGGACTGCAGCCAAACACTGAAAAAAATGAAATGACCCATTACGGAGGCTGGGTGGTGACGCCATTTAAACTGTCGGACAGGAAGTGGGTGGTGGTAACATTTTGCTCTCTGAACTAACATTAACATGTTTTGTGTTATAGCCAAGTGGGTACATTTTTTAAACCAAATCGAAATTTGTAGCTTAAGATAATTTTTTCTGTTCTTTCTGCAATTTGGTAAGAGAATTACCATTTGTTTACATAAGCCGCAAACTTTCATATTTCATGAGTATGTCAAGATCACAGTGTTTAGCAGACATGAGCTTCTACAGAAACGTGGAATTCCACTTTTTTAAATTCAATTCTGAGGCGGCCCTGGACTCCTGGCCGATTAGGTGTTGGGTCCCATGATAAATGTTCAGAGGTTATTTTTTTGAAACCTAGGCTCATTTCTGTTTAGGCAATACATACCAAGAACCATATAGTGTTCTAAGCATTAAGTTTTTACCTTTTACATTAAATTAAAGCTATACCTTACAAAGCTATACCTTACAACATATAACTGCTGTCCTCTTGTATTTCAGTACTACAATTTTAATAAATAGAGGATGGGTGCCTCATAGCAAGATTGATCCAAAAAAACGACAGAAGGGACAGGTAGGAAGCATGTTGTTTGCTTGCATAAGATTGGTTTACTAATTGTTGTCTGAATCCATTTTTAATTGTACTTGGCTCAGATTTTTTTTTTTTTTTTTTTTTTTTTTTTTTTTTTTTTTTTTTTTTTTTTTTGTTTTTTAAAAAGGGGGGTTTTTTTTTTTTCCCAAAAACATTTTTCTCCCCTGGGTTTTTCCTTTTTTTTTCCTTTTTTTTAATAAATTTTTTTTTTTTTAAAATTTNTATGAATAACTCTGATACTAGAACTTACATTTAGCGAATTGACTAATGTTGTTGCCTCAACCTGAGACCTTTCACTAGGTAAGTGACCTGGGTGGACTGGTCACCTGATCTATTGCCATCCCAGTATGGCTTGGAATATGCCCTGACCCATATGTGGAAGGGTTAAACCTGAGGCCTCCTCTCTTGTTCATTGTTGGATTTCCACCATTCTAGACCAGGAAGAAAACTGGAGCAAACATAGTATCAAAGAAGACATCTGGGAATGGATAAAAAATCCAACACATAAATTAACAGTTGCAGGGTGGGGAAGGGGAGTACTGCAAAAGTATCAATAAGTTGGATAGCAAATTGGATAGCTATTTTATGTGCTTTTTAAAAGATCTTAGATTATTCATACCTTGGCACTGATGGTCTGAATGATGTTATCAATATGTATTTAACTGCTGAAAGCCCTTCAAACATAAGGCAAATGACTCTCTGTACATTTGCAATTTGGAGCACTTTTGTTTTATAATAATAATATAGAGCTTTTGTTTTACAGCATGCATTTGTGGCTGTTTTGCAATGCTTTGGAAGGCGTGGATTCAGTACAACAGTGAAGAGAAATCGTCGCTCCAGCATACCAAAAGGGATTGGTGTCCGTGACAAGGAGTTGCCCTACTGGAAAAGATTTTTAAAGGGTGGCTACCCATTACTGGTATGCTAAGAGAGAGAGATGAGATATATGATATAATGTATGTTGACTGGTTAATATGTACATTAGTGGAAACACCCCTGATACTCACCAGTAAAGCTCTTGTGTAAAGGGTTTCTTAGTAAGTTTTCTTTTGTATCATTGTTTTTTAGGGGGATGGATTGAAAATTACAGTAAAACCTGATAATTATTATTTTCTCACTTTATCATTGTTTGAATAACTTTTTCTTTTTAATTGGTTTTCACTACAACATTGGGCACTTACATAATAGATGATCCCTGGACTAACTGATCCAGGGACTAACTGATCCAGGGACTAAATATGGCTGTCCTCACTAAAATGAAGCCACCTAATTTCCTTATGGTCACCCTGCCTCCACGTGCGCCATCCATGAAGTGATCTAGCAATTAAACCTTGGAGTAGAGATTTAGTTTGTTTAATGGAACGTGTGGAGGTCGAGGAGACCATCATAGGATTAGGCGGCTTGCTTTTAAGTATGGACGGCAATATTAAATCCGTGGATTAGTTGATCTGCAGATAATCTGTTCTGAAAGCACCAATTAACCAACTCTGAGGCTAAATATGATACCTTACTCTAAATGTGAAGAATAACAGTTACTTATCTTAAGACAAAACATTTCATAATAATGTCCTCTTTGTTAAAGAAACATGTATTAAGCTATATATTATTGTCATCATACTAATGTTATAAAATTTGATCATTTATTTAATGCAAAAACCCAACAGCTTTTATAACTTGCAAAATTTATCAAAATTATCATGGAGATAGTCTACTCTCCAGGTCAAACTTGTGACACCTCTCTACACTGTTACCAGTTTACTAGAATAAATTAATGTCATTGTTTTCCAGTTGGCCCCAGCAGTATTCACATACCTTGGTTTTTGGCAGATACAGAGACTCAAATGGAAGACGGGGATAATAGATATGCTTAATGAAAGGACCAATTCAGATCCAATACCTCTGCCAGAGGAGTAAGTGATAACAGTAAACCTAAAAAGCATTTTATACACACTTGAAAATGTCCCAAAGTCATGTTTTCATGTCTAAGTTACTGAAAAAGCTTCTGAATATATTTCCCCAATTCAAACCTCAAAAGGGATGAATCCTTATTTATCTGAAGAATACGTGATATTGATTTTTCTTTCCCAGTTCTAGACCTCAAAGCTTTAATATTTCTTGATTTCTGGTGAAAAATAAATTTGTGGATATGATACAGATAAACAAACTGCAACTCTGTTGCTAATTTCTTGTTGTAAAGTGGAAAAAATCCTATGAAATGTCAAAAAAAAAAAAAAAGACTGCAGTCTAAATGGATCATGATCCATTCGGATCTAAGTTATTTAGTTAGAAAAAGTACAAAACCAAGACATCGACTCTATATGCATGGACAGGTCAAGCAATGATTCGTGAGTGGGAGAAAGTAGCCCCTTTTTTGAGGAATATTAGGTTTGGAAAAATATTTGTATAGGATACCACAAAATTGGATCTTGGTTAATTAATTTTTGTTTTGCCAAGGTAATGTTTGTTTATTCTTAATGTCTGTTTCAATCATAGATCATAGAAATGTGTTCATTCATTTGGTTGCTAAAAATATGGCTATAAACAAAAATTTTAATGGGTTCAAATGACAAAAAAAGTCTTAACTTATTTTTATAATTACCCCACTTCACAGGACATTTTATTATGTCAGTCATATTGCTTGACTAAAAGGCAACTGTAGTCTTAAATTAAAAATATAAAATATACAAAAAATCATTTCAATTGTGAATTTTAGCTTAAGAGAAATACAGGACCTTGAGTATCACCCTATCCGTGTGCGAGGGACCTTTGACCACTCCAGGGAAGTTGTTGTTTCACCTAAAGGAAGGTAGGAGAGCAATGTTCTAAATATTTGATACAATTTCTACAAGACTCAGTGTATCAAGTATTTAGGCTATATGTTGATATAATTTTCATTGGTAAATTATTTAATATGATAGTGAATTCTACTTCCCGTCATTGTAAAAATTATACATGAAGATATGCAAATGAAATATAGAAATGACTTCAATCTATGCCATTGGTGTTAATTTTATTGATCTGTGATATACCTTTCAAAAGGTGTCATCCCATGTAAATTTATCTCAAGTTTGCACCTATATCTGTTGCAAAATGTTTTTCACATGTATTTATCATCCCTTGTTATGTCAAGTATGGCTTTGTCTCTGCATTTCCAGGGTGGAGAGTAAAAACCAGGCTGTGATGAGAGGACTGCAGCCAAACACTGAAAAAAATGAAATGACCCATTACGGAGGCTGGGTGGTGACGCCATTTAAACTGTCGGACAGGAAGTGGGTGGTGGTAACATTTTGCTCTCTGAACTAACATTAACATGTTTTGTGTTATAGTCAAGTGGGTACATTTTTTAAACCAAATCGAAATTTGTAGCTTAAGATAATTTTTTCTGTTCTTTCTGCAATTTGGTAAGAGAATTACCATTTGTTTACATAAGCCGCAAACTTTCATATTTCATGAGTATGTCAAGATCACAGTGTTTAGCAGACATGAGCTTCTTCTACAGAAACGTGGAATTCCACTTTTTTAAATTCAATTCTGAGGCGGCCCTGGTGTTGGGTCCCGTGATAAATGTTCAGAGGTTATTTTTTTTAAACCTAGGCTCATTTCTGTTTAGGCAATACATACCAAGAACCATATAGTGTTCTAAGCATTAAGTTTTTACCTTTTACATTAAATTAAAGCTATACCTTACAAAGCTATACCTTACAACATATAACTGCTGTCCTCTTGTATTTCAGTACTACAATTTTAATAAATAGAGGATGGGTGCCTCATAGCAAGATTGATCCAAAAAAACGACAGAAGGGACAGGTAGGAAGCATGTTGTTTGCTTGCATAAGATTGGTTTACTAATTGTTGTCTGAATCCATTTTTGTACTTGGCTCAGATATGATGTGTCTTTTTTTTTTTGTTAATATGCTGTTTTAGCAAGGAGGTACTTTTGTTTTGCCAGCAAACTTTTCAGCCACATGGGTTTGCACATTTTAGTACCATTTTGTTAAATAAGATATTTTCTTTATTAAAATTCACTGTATGGTTTTTTTTCTTGGTAGAAATATCTAACTCTTTTAAACTATTTATTACGAATGGAAGAGAATCTCTCAGGTCCACTGATATTTCAAGTAATGACTGGGACACAAAAAAAGCTTTAGGAAATTCTTTTCTTTACTTATGGGCATCAGAGCACTTTATCTCTACCCATATACAGTGTATGCACACACATACTATTTTTATTTCATTTGTGAAAAGGATCAGGGAAATAATGAGTTATGTTTTTGAATTCATGAAAATAGAAATTGCCTCATACATTGTCATTATTAGTAAATCCAAACAACTGCAGCCAACATACTGGCATTGCGGTTGTTGCACTTTAAACACATTCACCCCCATGCACTGCATTCATAGGTAGTTTACAGGTGTGCCAAAGATGCTTAAGGTGAATTTTTTCCTTATAAAAAATTAAGATTATTTTCTTAGAAATGCCTTTTGATAGCATAAAATGGTGTTTTGCAAAATTATTCTGCTGACATGTATGCTTCAGCTAATTGTCATTGCTTCACACAATTGTTAGCTGGTCAGTAGGTTTCTTCTTCTTCTAAATAAATTTGAATTTGGACCTAATTTGTCAAATAATAGGAATGATTCTTCTGTGACATTAATGCGATAGAAATATGCCATATATGTTTAAAAATGAGTATGCGTGTGTGTGTATTTTAGCAAACCGAGGCAAGTCTGGAGATTTATAAGCAGTAAGGAATATACACATTTGAAATTAAAAGCCTTTAACTACATTTCTTTTTATAAGAAAAACCTACACGTTCTTCATTGACTTATATTTGCCTTGACAAAAATGTCTTATTGAAATGGTTAAAGGCAAAAAGTTATTTCCTTTTTTGTATCATACTTGAGCAGCTTTTGCAATTGAACTGCCGAGTTTGTTAAGAAAAACATGATATTTTAGATCATGCCCCTAAAGGAGGCATAAA